GCCTTTTCTTCTAGGGTTTTCCACTCTTCATCATCGTTTGCCTTATTCACCTTTTCAGTCAGCGGCGCCCACAATCCCTGCTGCTTCAGCAACGATCGCATCTTGATCTGCCACAAGCCAAAACTATTTCTCCCGTTGAATTTATCAATCTTCACGTTCAGAGCAGATGACATCTTCGATCGACTCAAGAAACCCTAACAGTGCGGAATTCAGAAAATCCCTAATCGGAAGAACCAGAAGCTCTGATACCAGTTTGTTGTTACGGAATAGGGTATTGAGTAATCAAAGAACAAACAGAAAAACACAACAACAAATTTAACGTGGTTCACCAACGTTGTGTTGGCTAGTCCACGGGGAAGAGGGGGAGTTCTGAAGGAGAGGCAAAACAGAGTACCGCTCATAGGGTTTGTGGTAGCACCCATATAAATAGTGCTTGACTAAACCCTAACATACTTGGGCCCAAAACTACATAATTAACAGATAATTAGAAGCCCAATTAACTTCTCCGGATTCTGACTTCTCCGGATTCTGACTCCTCCGAACTCTGACTTCTCCGAAAACGGACTTCTCAGAAAACGGACTTCTCCGGATTCGGAGCTGTGATGGGTCAGATTCAAGGCATTTTAACAATCCATTTATAATCTTTGATTGAACAGTGTCTTGGCTTGTACCTATTGAAATCAATGATTGTACAGTGTTCTCATTAACTACAGTGACCTTTCCACGAGCTTCCTATTTTGTCCATGGATGAACAGAGAAAGGTCACAAATCCTCCTCTATAAATATGATGATATTTGATAGAGGAGGGGATCCATTTCTTTATCTCACTAAAACTAGTACACTCTTGAGACAGAGTAAGAAATATATTTTGGACTGAGGAGATTTACCCGGTCTAGGTCATACTTTGTGTTCTTGTGTGTGTTTTATATTACGGGTCGAGTGTGTCCAGGTCAAACCCGGTCAACCTACCCAGCTATATTTACACCATCAAGATACATCATTTGTATACCAAGCTAATACAAACACATACATGCACATAATATATATGCAGGCACAGACATTATATGTCTTTATGTATCTGCGTTAGCTTGGTATACAAATAGGGTATCCTATGTTGGTTAATCTCCAAGTTAATTCAATTTTTTATTCTTGTGAACATCTTTCTCGGGGATACGTAGCAGTAGTAGCTAGCTGGAGATTCAAATGGGTGGTGTATAGTTCACTTTTCAATAATATCATTATCCCCACTTGGTCTTCCACTAGAGAAAAAGATTTCGGGAAACTAAAGGATTCAAATTTAGGCTTGATTTTTTTGAGTGGAAAATTTAACATTTAACTCCTTACAACTTCTTCTGATTCCTTCTTATATTGACTTAAAAAAATATTTATATACGATGAATATACAATAACATTATATAACCAAATTCATAACATATCACCTCAAATACGGAGAACGATAAATTCTTTTTAATATCCAAATTTAGTTTTCTTACATACTCTTTTCGTCCCTGAGTATTTGTCTACTTTTAAATTTTTTTGTCAAAATTGGTAAGCTTTGAAATTAAATTAATTAAAAATGATATTATATATTGATATAAAAAGATTTTATTAGATTTATTGTATAAAATATTTTTAAAATAATATTTTATCTAATTAATATATAATATATATTTTATTTAATTATAGATCAAAGATTGAAAACAGTTAACCGAAAAAGTACAAACGGATATATTGAGCAACTTTTTAACACTTTAATTCTTCCAACGTTTTCTAACTCCTTCCAATATTTTTAAATTTCTTCTAGTTTTTCCGAAATCTTTACATTTTTTCCAACCATCACTTTTGAAATTATAACCCAAAAGAACATGGCTTTAATATGGGTTAATTTTTTTAAAAGAAATGTGGGTTAAATTTAATAAACAATATTTATGCTTTTTTCAAAGCTTTTTCCGGAAAAAAGAAAGAATGTTAAGGAATGTAGTAGGCTTTGTTATTAACGGGGTCATTCTTATTGGGCTCGTAATTAGGTCATGGTCTTGTAGCTATTATAAATAGCAGATCTATGTGTAATCGATTGGATTCAAGTTCAGTTCAAATAATATTTTCTACATGGTATCGGAGCCAAATCTTGGGAAAACCAAAACTCTAAGTTTGCTCTAGTTTGTAGCTTCCGCTTCTGCCGCTGTCGTTGTATATTTTCTGGCGACGACGGCATCACCATCAATTTCCATTACCAATCATTGTACTTCTGTTGTTGACGATAGAGGTTTCGATCTGTTCGTCCGGAGTAGTTGAGATTGAGGAGTAATTGTCCAGATCTCCGCTACCCTACTCTTTGCATATTTTCGACGCCTAGGGTTATTATCCATGTCATTCACGTCCTAGTTTTGGCCGCCGAGTTAAAAGTGGTCAAGTGCCCTTCCATTCAGCAGTATGTTTCGCTAGTATGAGTGGATTGGTTTGGTTTGCATTCTTCTAGAAAGAAGGTTTTCATGATCAACATTTCATGCACCTTTTGATCGACGTTTTGATGACATTGTTTTTTGTTGCTATTTGGTATGTTCAAGTGCAACCAGCCAGGGCCGGCCCAATAGGGGGACAAGGTGTTCGTCCGGGCCGGGCCCAAAAATTTTAGGGGCACAAAAAAATATTTTTTAAGTGTTATATATATATGTATAAAAGCCCAGGCCCAATCCACCCATGACCCACCCCTTAACTTATTGCCTCTAGCACTCTAGCCCAGTCCATTTGTATTCTGTAGACCAAAAAAGACGGAAGAAAAGTTGCAAGTACCTATCGAAGAAACGCAAAACGTCAAGAAAGGACCGGAACTCCGAATCGCCAACCTGCACGCAGCACGCCTCCATCGCCGGACGCCGAGTCGCCCACCTGCACGGCTCCATCCTCCAGGTAATTATTCATAGCCTTCCTTTTCCAATTTTTTAATTTTTATTTCTTAAATCTTAATTTTCTTTCATGGTTTCATTTTTTAGATTTAAAATCTAGGATTAATTCTTAGTTTTTAATTTCAAATCTTTTTTAATTTCAATCCTTGAAATAGAATGAATGAATGGTTCTATATGTTATTTATTTGATTTGGATGAATTGATTTGAATTTTATATTTATGATAATTATATATTTATATTAAAAAAACTGAAAATAAAAAAAAAATTAAAAATTGATAAATTGATGAATTGATATGAATTTATGATTTATAAAAAATTAAAACTGAAAAAGAAAAAAACCATTAAAAAAGAAAAATTGATGAATTGATATTAATTTATGATATATTTATTTATTTATTTGCTTGCTTTTTTCAGTTTTTATTCTTGATTTTACTTAGTAGAATTTATGAATTTGGATTTTATTTCATAAATAATTCAACAGTTATGACTCCTAAACAATTATCTGGTAGTCAAAAAAGAAAAAAAAGAGAAAACGAGATGAAGAAATGAGAAAGTCTCAATCCGGGATATAAGTTTGTCATTTATTATTTTATTCTAATAATATTACGTTAATTATAATTTAAATATAATTAGTTTACATATGTGAATTTTTTAGATCATTAAGAATAGGACTTTTAAGGCCTTTTTTTTGTTTCGGACCAGGCTGATTAATCCTCGGGACCGGCCCTGCAACCAGCTGTATGTTCGGCATGTTTGTTTGTGAGGTTGGTCGCATAGTCGCGCCTCAGTCCGGCAACACGGCCTCCAAGTTTGGGATGCTTGTTAGTCGTCCCCGTGTCACTGCGTGGGAGTCATTCGTCATCAAAATTTATTGTTCGTTTGCAGGGCCGGTCACCTTCGTAGTTATCACACCAGATCAAGTTCAAATTGTTTATCAAGTTTTTTTTTGAGTCCTAGTTTTTTTTAATTGTCTAAGTTGTGCATTCGTTAACTTCATGTTCAACTTGAGGTGGAGTGTTAAGGAATGTAGCAGGGTTTGTCGTTAACGGGCTCATTCTTATTGGGCTCGTAATTAGGTCATGGTCTTGTAGCTATTATAAATAGCGGATCTATGTGTAATCGATTGGATTCAAGTTCATTTCAAATAATATTTTTTACAAAGAAGACGAAAGAGAAGGAAATGGGTGAAAAAGAAGACGATGGTAGAAGGGGATCGAAAGTGGTAGTGGGTGGGCGCGTGAGGGTAAAACAAACATTTCAGTTTTAGTTTTTTTTTTTTGCCAAAATAAGAAATGTGAATTTTTTTATGAACAAAAAAGAAAGTGATATCTCATTTATACATCAAACTAACACAGACAAATATATATATATATATATATATATAATGTCTGTGCATGTACAGACATTATATATGTGTATCCCTTATGTTAATTTAGTGTACAAATCAAGCACCTCATGTTGGTGTATCCCTAAAATCACCCTTCCAAAAATTGACCATCGAACACATTGCTAACCGCCATGCATCAGGGCGGCTGCCAACCGACGCCACATATTTGTGAGAGCTGCTCGTTAGAATTCTTTTGATACTCTTGTTATCCGTGAAAATAGAGAATATACTTAAATAAGAAGGAGGATGCTAAATGTATCCAAAATTTGTATCTCATTTGTACACCAAAAGTATGCATCAACATTTTGATGGTTCATACTGACACAAAGTGTTGGTGCGTTAAAAAAAATTTACACTGACACAAAGGGTTGGTGCGTTAACAAAAATTAGTATTACACCAACACAAAATGTTGGTACATTCCTGTGGTGTACAAAATAAGGTACAAATTCTTGGGGTGCAAATAACATTATCCAAATAAGAATTGTAATGCAAATAACGGAAACATATAATATTAAAAAAAATTTATAAATATAGTGTCATATTGTTACACTACAAACTTCTATTTTGAGAAAAAAAAATGTCTTTCAAATTTTTGAAATAAGAACAATGTTTTACTCTTATTTTAGATAAAATTTTTTGGATTTGTGAGGCATACAACAATATAATCATATCATTTAATTTCTTATTTTAAAAATATCTTAATGCAACTTTTTAAATACATAACGTTTACAATTTAGTTTTCATACTAAATTTTGAATATAACAATTTGTAAATAACCTAACATTTGTCAAAATTATACTTTCTCCGTCCCTTAAAGTTTTTCATATTTTGACTTTTGGGAAAATTAAGGGAGGTATATTTTTGTATTGATTTTTCAAAAAATACTGCTGACATGATGATTAAAAGTTGGATGTTAAGGTAAAATTACTAATAAAAAAGTATGATGTGATAGATAGAGTAAGAATTTCTAGAGGTAATAGTTTGGAAGAAATACGAAAATAGCACTTTAATAGCACTTTAATCCTCAAAATAGCAGTGCTATTAGTTTTGGAGATGAATTCTCTTTTTTGTCCTTAAATAAACCCCTAATATAACACCTAATATTAAATTTCCCTAATTAGGTTAATAACTACGTTTACTGGTCAAACGCTATAGCGCAGCCGATCTTCCCAGGCGCAGCAGCCGATCTTCCCTGTCACGCCATAACGGGAATCCTTCCTCGTCACACTGCTGAACGCGACGCAGCAGCTTCTGGAAGGAGACCCAAGGTTTCAATGGCAAGGGAAGATGCACTGGACGAGATCCCTCTAAGCAAAAGATTGGAGAAGATACAGGTATGATTAGTTTTTGGCATTGAATTTGCTTCTAAAAAATTTTCTCTAACAAAGTTTGGAATAAGTTTTTTTTTCGGTTGGCAGTGTGTTCTTAATTTTTTTGCAGTGTGTTTTTTAATTTCCGTTTGCAAATGTGTTTTTCAGTTTTCCTCAATGTGTTCTTATTTTCCTCAGTGTGTTCTATGCAGTGTGTTTTAATTTTTAAACTTGGCAGTGTTTGTATGATTAACGTATTGAATTTTTTTTTGGCTTTGTTGAACTCGTTTAGGTTTTTTTGTGATTGTTAGACGTAATTCAAAGTTTAGAATTAGTTTTTGCTTCTATTTGGCATTGAATTTGCTTCTTTAAAAATTTCTCTCACAAAGTTTAGAATAATTTTTCCCGGTGTGGCAGGGGGTTTCTTATTGAAGGTTCACTGCAATGTGTTTTGTAATTTTCTTCAGTAAGTCTTTTTTTCGGTTGGCAGTGTGTTCTTAATTTTTATGCAGTGTGCTTTAATTTTCAATCTTGGCAGTGTTTTTTTATTAACGTATTGTTTTTTTTTGCTTTGTTGAACTCATTTAGGTTTTTTGTGTGAATGTTAGACGTATTTTAATGCTTTTTTTCGTCTTTTTTTTTGTTTTTCGTTTATAAAATAACTGTTTTATTTTATATATAAACGAATGGGCAACTTTTGGGCACTGTCGTTTTTCGTTCGGCAGTGTTTTTATGATTAACGTATTGAATTTTTTTTTGGCTTTGTTGAACTCGTTTAGGTTTTTTTGTGATTGTTAGACGTAATTCAAAGTTTAGAATTAGTTTTTGCTTCTATTTGGCATTGAATTTGCTTCTTTAAAAATTTCTCTCACAAAGTTTAGAATAATTTTTCCCGGTGTGGCATGGGGTTTCTTATTGAAGCTTCACTGCAATGTGTTTTGTAATTTTCTTCAGTAAGTCTTTTTTTCGGTTGGCAGTGGGTTCTTAATTTTTATGCAGTGTGTTTTAATTTTCAATCTTGGCAGTGTTTTTTTATTAACGTATTGTTTTTTTGGCTTTGTTGAACTCATTTAGTTTTTGTGTGTGAATGTTAGACGTATTTTAATGCTTTTTTTCGTCTTTTTTTGTTTTTCGTTTATAAAATAGCTGTTTTATTTTATATATAAACGAATGGGCAACTTTTGGGCACTGTCGTTTTTATGGGTTTAGTATTGTATGTCGTTATTATTTTCTAAAGTGTGGTTTTTGTTTCCCTTAAGTTCTATGCAGTGTGTTTTAATTTAAGTTTGGCAGTGATGTTTTGATTAATGTATTGATTTTTTTGGCTTTGTTTCCCTTTTTTGGTATTTTTTTGAAGCTCACCCAGATGCTCTATTGTTGTTGTAGGAAGTTGAAGTGGCCTCTAAAGGTGTTATGCAAGAAGGGAGAATTAACACGTATTGTAACGTGAATGNGTCGCAAAACAGATTAAAAAAATTCTAAATACAGAAGAACTGGACAGATTCCGAAAATCTCCATTTGGCGTTATATTAGATGTCGCAGAGTTTCCATGGATTAGTGGTTATTTACTTATTACTTTGGTCAGAAATTGTGATAGGCCATCTGGAGACGAAAGTAAAAAAGAAGTATTGACTTTTCGATTTCATGGAAATGAAGTGAACTTGACGAAGGAACAATTTCATCTAATCACTGGTTTAAAGATGGGTGGTTACAGGGGCGATATGGATAATAAACAGAGAGGAAGGTTTGCGTCAAGGTTCTTCCCCGGGGGAAAATCAGTACAGCGTAAAGATATTTCCACAGCTTTTTTAAATTTTAAGCGGGATGCACCTGGGGCACTTGCTAGTGATGCACTCAAGATGTCATTGGTTTATGCCTTGTCACATTCATTCTTAGGTAACCAGCCGATAGTGAAATTCCCGATGTGCTATATAAACTTAGTGGACGATATAGATGAGTTCTATAGTTTCCCATGGGGAGATGATGTCTGGTCAGACTTGGTTGATCATGTTCATCGGTGCGGACTAAGCATTGAAAAGGGTGGAACTTCTCGTCCAACATTTGGGGGATACATGTTTGCACTGCAGATATGGGCATTTGAGACTTTCCCGTCACTTGCGAAGGCCGGGATGTGTATGTTGGTTCCTGGTAGAGAAGTGTGCATACCACGTTGTTTGAAGTGGAAGGTTTGTGCTAAATTTAGTGCTCGAAAAGTGTCTGATGCACTGTTCAAATCTGAGAAGGTAACTTTTAAGATTAGATATTTTTATTAATGTTTCATATGGCCTTGTACTAGTATATTTATGTTTTTTTCAATTGCAGTTGTTGTTGACTCCCATCGTGCCTACCGTGGATGAGAAGAAACTGGACAGTGTGAAGCTTCTTTTTCCTTGTGAGAAAACACAGTCCGCCAAAGGAAAGAAGAAGTTGTCGCTGCATGATGCGAAGCGAGCATGTCAGGAGAAGAAGACGGACAAGAGATCAGAGGATGCAGTGTTGACGAAAGACAGTGGAAATATGTCTACCAAGCAGGGTGGAGATGATGAAGTAGGTATGGTCGGTTTGGGCAGTGTGAGTGGTAATGATATGGCTTATGGGTCCACCGGGGAGAAAGAGGAACGTATTCAAAAGCAATGTGGTGAGCACAAAGAATTGTTGAAAGTAATGTTGGAGATTATGGCTAAGCAAGCAGAACAAAACAAAAAGATTGATCAAATTTTGGTTATGCTTCAACAAAAAGCTGTAAGCTCCCAAAATGAAACACATACCGTGAAGGATAGCATGATGGCAGAGAAGGAGCAGCTGAAACTAGAGAATGATGATGTTAGAAAGAGTTTGGAGAATGATGAAGAAAGAATGATTAATCCAGAAGGACCATCCTTTGAAATACTTACTCCCATTGCAAAAGATGGTGTGGCTAGTGATGGGAATAAGGATAATGGTAGTGGCAGTGTGTTGGTAGTTGAAGAAAATCGTACTGAAGACTGTTTCAAGCCATCAGAGATTTCCTTGGGTGATACACAATTCAGTCCTCATGATTTGGAAGTTATAGACAAGGTGACTGACATGTGGGCGAAGTCTTCTGAGAGACGCGAAACTGTAATTTATTAAATACTTTTATATGAGTTTTTACTTTATTCATGGGTGTAGTTTTTTTGCATTTGTTCTCATTTTTTTTAAATTTGCAGGTTTGTCCAGTTGATTGTTCGAAGAAGATAGACTTGCGGAATGTAGGGGGCGATGGTGGCAAGGCGGCTCTTGACGATGATTTTGACAAAATTTTTTGGAAGAGCAAAATGGGCAAAAACGTTGGAGAAGAGACGAAGGTTAGGAATTCAATCGTGGCAGTCGTTTGCTACTACGTATTAGTTCTAGTTATAATGTCTGTTTATTTAATAAGAGTAGTGGTAGTAAATTGATATTCATTATTGTTCATGATGGTGAGGGTAGGTTGTCGCGGCGCCTACGAATTCTGACAGTGCTTGTGTGGAGATTAAGAGGCCGAAAAGGGTGCATAAGAGTCCAGAAAGATATACTCCAAGCGAGGTTGTCATTAAAGAGAAAAAGCGTAAAATTGAAAGAATGGTGCGATTTAGCGAGCGCGTGAAGAGTGAACGGAATGGGCAACGATATGGGCCATTTACTAAGGATCCTAAGCAAATGCCATCCGAAGAAGATGTTGAAAAGGTTAGAGTTTTCTTGAATGAAGGACTTTTGAAGAGAAGAGGTATAGCTACCGGAACTTGTAGGTATGTAGCTGAAGTGGATGACTTGTCCAAAGATCCCATTGTCCTGGATGGATTCAAGGTGGAAAATAAGACATGGTTTTATGAGCTATTTACCAATACAGAGTGGTTGCGCAGCACGGTAAGATTTTTTTATATGTCTTTCAATTTGTTTCTTTTGTCATGTGAATATATTTGTAGCAGTGTGTAGGTGAGTTTTAATGGGGTGTGAATTTGGAGAACAAAATATGTCGGGTTTTATGACTTGGTATTTTGTCATTGGAGTGATTTGTATGAGATTCAAGTTTTGAATAGCCTGGGGTTTTTTTGGAGAGGTGTGGGCTGTGTGAATGTAGTGTGTTTCCCTTTTTTTGACAAATTTTTTTAAAGGAGGATACACTGCCTATTCGAATTGGTTTTTGGTCAGTGTTGTTTTTACAGGACAGAGTATACTGCCTAATGAATATGCATTTCGGCAGTGTGTTTATCTTTGTTTTGGATTGGTTTTTTTTAACATGGCAGGGTATACTACATGATCCATAAGGTTTTGGGCAGTGCTGTTTTAACAAGACGGGGTGTACTGCCTTAACACTTTAAATTTCGGCAGTGTGTTTCTCTTTTTTAAAGTGGTGTTTTTTACATGGCAGTGTATACTGCATAATGCATTATGTTTTTGGCCAGTGTTGTTTTAACATAGCAGTGTGTTCTTTTGGTTAGATTTTTATTAAGCAGTGATGATTGCGCTTGTAGGAGCATACAATATGTGTAATGTAATACCATTATTCGGGTTTCTTTTTTTATTTCAGCATATAGAGATTGCGATGTACTATCTTGAATTGAAGAGCATTCAATACAGCTTGATGCAGACATACACAGCAGCGTCACCATATTTTTTGCAAGGACTCAAGACGCACCAGGAGATGGTAGACGTCGGCAAGGTGAAAGCGGAGGCTGTGATTGATAATTCTAGTCTATCAAGTGTGGTATTAGGATTAGCGCACCAATATGCGAAGCCTTGGTGTGAATGTGATTTTGTATATATGCCATTGAACACTGGGAACCACTGGATGTTACTTGTGCTCGAAGTTGAATGAAGGAAGATAAGGGTCTATAATTCTAAAGGAAAGAAAGGGCAGACAAGTAGGGAAATCATTCCATACGTGACGTGTATATCATCATTGTTACCCAAGCTTCTTGACATGTTGAATGTGTATGAAAATCACTCGGATGGGCCAATGGGAGATCAAAAGCTCTCAATTGATATAATTGATGGGTGTCCACAACAAAGTGACGGGTATGTGATAGTTAAGTATTATGATTTTGTGAGAGTGATCTTACATGTGTTGAAAATGTAGGCAGTACACAATGTTTACTGACTTTGAATTTTGTATACAAATGCAGGTCTAATTGTGGTATGTTTGTAGTGAAATTCGCAGAGTTTTTAATGATGGATTTAAGGATAGATGAAGTGCAGTCATGTGACATGGAAGCTTACCGGGTTAAAATGACAACAGAACTTTTAGCTTATAGCTATGAGAGGAAGGAAGAATCCCGAAAGCAATAGACTTTTTTTTGATACCTTCGATATTTTATTGTTCGTATGACAGCTGTTTGGAGTTTGTTTTAGTTTTTTTGTGGTATAAATGATATTTTGTTTTGTTTTAGTAATAATTTTTGGGCATTTAATTAATTAGTGATTTGAAAGTGGATTAGTGGATATTTTGTTATTAAGTCACACTGCCATGACCATTCCACACTTCCAAAATTGTTTAGGCAGTCACTGCATACTTTGTTTGATTAAGTGGAATATACACTGCAATGTTTGCACACTTTTCACTGCCACATTATAAGTAAGTATAAAATTCTATGCTCTTCATTGCCATAATATGTTTGAGATTGAGTTTAGTGACCTAACACATTCGAGTCTTCTGGAAAAAAGAGGAGAATTTATTTTATTTCATTGGTTTTTTTTACGGTAATTATACACTGGAATATGTAATCTCTACAATGCCAGAATATGTACTTCCAAAAATTCAATATGTAAAATACACTGTAACAAAATGTACACCGCCACACAATATACAAAATGTTAGTAACTCATTGTCTAACATACACTTCCAGAATATATTCATTGCCACGAAATATCTACACTAGCAGAATATATACACTGCCGTAATACAATTCCACATTTCACAAGGAATTTAATAAGAATTAAAAGAATGCAACTTATACCCTATTCACTATTTGTAAGTCAATGGTGCAATTAGACGAAGTATTATATAGTAATAAAAAAATCAAGTTATAGTATAAGGAGTACAACTATTAAAAGAGTGAAAAAACAAAGAATGTGTCTGAACAACGTCAAAAATGGATGAAGGAGAGCGTTGAGAATTGTATATTATACGGAATATGAAAGAGTGCAGTGTCAATTTGGTATTGGGTTTTTGCATGTTTTTACGTTATGCCCCAAATTCAAACACCGTGTGCATCTTTGCTTTCTACGCCTATGGCCTATTTGAAATTCACCGACTGATGGAAGTCTCCTCTTCTTTGGTCTACCCGGGGGACGCTTATTACAAGATGGAGGCTTGCAAATCACTAATGAAACATCCGGCGGAACACTCCAGGATGATTTATCTCCTATTGGGTGCACAATGCCATTGTAAGTTGCAACTAATGATTCCCGTCTGGAGTACGGTGAGATGAAATCAAAACATGACAAACCAGGGCGAGACGCAATAGCTGCAACGGCATGAACACATACGAAATGGTCCAACTGAAATTCACCACAAGTGCACGTTCTGTCCCTAAGGTTAACAATAAATGTCCGAGTCCACCTATCAACGATCTCAAACTCATATGGGCATGATGGCTTAACCTGTATGAGGGGGAAATTAATTAAGCAATTATAATTATTTATGAAACATAATATTATGAAATAATTCCATTGTAAATATGTATTTTACAATAATATAAATGAGAAAGCTACCTTCATCTTGAAGGCATCCCGTTGTAGAGTTATTAACTCAGATTCCAGATTCTGAGTAAGAATTGTTGTCGTAGATAAAGCTCTCTCATGGCGTTCATGGAACCATTTTTGCATCCTTTCTCTAATGAAATCAACTAACTTCGAAACAGGGTATTCGCGTGCAGAGTTGCTAACATTATTCATTGATTCTGCAGCATTAGATGTCATTATCGAGTATCGAAATGGCCCACTCTTGCAACGTGACCATTTAGATTCGCCGATGTCCCAGAGGTAAGAGCGAATTCTTGAATCTTGTTCGTCAAGCATTTGCAAATACTCCTCACGCTCAAACTCAGTTGCTGCACGGCAGGCTTTCCTAAACTTCCACGCTAGATCTTCTTTCGGTCCCTTAAACTTGCCTCGTATGTTTCGGGCAATGTGCTCAGTACAATGACCATGTTCTACATTTGGGAAAACCTTGTCTACAGCGTAAAGAATTCCATCATGACGATCTGATATGATATACATATCATGCCTGAAAGTTAAGGTGTCCTTTAGTTTTGTGAGGAACCACGTCCACGATTCCTTATCCTCAGCATCACAAATGCCAAATGCTATGGGAACAAGTTGTTTGTTAGCATCCTGGCAGCACGCAGTTAATAAAGTCCCCTTGTAGTAAGATTTCATGAACGTTCCATCTATAATGAGAACGGGGATACAATGATCCCATGCTTGTCTCCACGCCGCTAAAGAAAAGAACAAGTATTTAAACTTGTGATCATCAGACCTAACCAAGTGTATTGCAGAACCTGGATTTTTCTGCTCCAACATATAGCACATTGATGGTAATAACTGGTAGGAATCTTCATCTGAGCCATACAACTTGGTCAATGCCTTCTGTTTGACTAGTAAAGCTTTCCTATATGACATGGAAACACCATATTCCCGTCTCATGTCCTCACGCAAGTCATTAGGAGGGTATGGTTTCTTGGTAGCGTCCACATAACGATGAAGGAGAATATCAGCTACAAATGATGATGTTGCCTGTCTGTGATCGCCTTCTCGAAAATCAACAGGGCAAGTATGGATTGAGTCAAACCTATAAAACAGAAAATAAAGGCAACCGGAATGATTAAAAAGGGTTAGGTGCTTGTCCCAAAAGTGATGATAGTTTAAAGTTTAGCTTAATCTACTAATTAGAATTCTAAATACCATATAAGAAAACAAAAAACGTGTTTCTTATTTTACATCTTCAGGTGAATAAGCAATAGGATGACTAGTTAATACAAGTGGTAAGAACAAATTTCTAAGCAATGGTTTCTAAGCATCATCAAGAAGCTTAGTGATACCAAAAGTTCACAACACCATTGCTTAGAAACCAATGTATCTGCTGATCACACTGCATTGCCTAATTTAAACTAAAGTTTGTGGTACACTACCGCAGCTTGTGTAATTCAAATACACTGCCAAATTTGGGCAGTATGTATAGCAGTCAAGAAGAAGGCTATGATGATACTAAAAAGTTTTGCTTAACGTATTAATTAAAATTGTAAATACCATATAAGAGAACAGTAAACTTGTTTCTTATTTCACATCTTCACTTTAAAAATCAATATGATAAGTACTTAATACAAGTGGTAAGAACAATTTTCTAAGCAATGGTTTGTAACCATCACCAAGATGCGTACTATTACCAAAAGTTCAGAAAACCATTTCTTAGAAACCAAAGTATATGCTGATCACACTGCACTGATTAATTTTAGGCATAATGTTTGGTACACTGCCAGAACTTGGGTTTCAAATACACTGCTAAATTTGGGCAGTGTGAGCAGCAAACCTTTTTTCTGAGTTTCGCTTTTTTTGTTTTGGAAAAAAAATAATGTAACGAACTTTTAATTATATAAAAGCGTACCTGCGTATCTGAAAAAGGGGTGAATTATCTATTCGAACAGCACGAAGGGTCCATGAGCAACGATCATCAACACAAACAACGTGTAAGCATGACTTGTTCGACCTCTTTGTCCTATACTGGAAGCTATTAGACACAGCATACATTTGTAGATGTTTGCATAAATCATCCTTTGACTTGTAGATACCGTCAACCCTAATGGTGGTGGGATGATAATGTGAAATGACATCCATAGAAGATGATGAGCCACCTTGAGCTATAGGGTCTGTTGCATTTTGAGTGTGAACATGACTTCGTGGAGTGCATGAACTCCCATTACCCAGGATTCCACTGCCACTCCTCTAAGGTGTGGAGTATGTATTGCTTTGCAGATTAGCATTGCAAACAGAGTTAACATATGCCTCGTTGTGAAAGTTGTGGTCATTGTGGGTAGTGGCGTCATTACTTTGTGGGTGGACAGTGGAATCCAAAACAAACTCAACACATAGTGGCAGGTGTGAGGTGTCATTTTGGAACGACTTCAACTTCAAATAGAATAGTAATTCGGAATCATCAGAAACAACAATAGGTGGGGGGGAGCCCGCAACAATATAAGAAAGACGAACAATATTCTGAGACCAATCAATACGTATGACAGATTTGAGTAAATCTAAGAAGGATTGGAATGAAGTTTTTTCTGGGACCTCAATCACTGTGTTATACTTTGAAGTAAAGCTTCCATGAGTATCACATGTCCCGTCGACATGTAGCAATATCATCAAATTAGAACCCATCTGTGATGCTCCTATTGAAAAAAAATAGATAACATTCTATTAAATTAAGTAAACAAAGGAATGAACTCAAACAATAGACGTATAACCTAATATACACATTTAGTCAAACACGTGAAGAAGTTGAAAATCATGTCTCCTAACCAATTATACTATGTACCTATACTTCAGAATGCAAACTTTAGTTTATTAATTGCATACAGCGCACAACACACTTCGAACTACACTATGTTAATCTTCAATGCCACTATGCGTATATATTTATTACTAGCACTCTAACACACTTCGAACATATGCCACTATGTTAAACATTCTCTACGAAGAAAAATAGGAAATAAATAAAACAAAAAATGCAGGGCAACATTTAGGCATTTAATCTTCACACTGCCCACACCATAACACCTTATCTTGACAGTGCCAAAATCACACTGCCAAAATCCAGGGCAACATTTAGGCATTTAATCGTCACACTGCCCACACCATAACACCTAATTCGACAGTGCCAAAATCCAGGCAACATTAAGGCATTTAATCTTCACACAGCCCACACCATAACACCTAATTCGACAGTGCCAAAATCACACTGCCAAAATCACAATGCCTTTCAAAAGACCTAATTTTTCAAAAAGGACAAATACTAGGTATTTCAAAATTGATTTCACAACACCTAATCTTTAGTACAAAGAAAACACAATAATTAAACTAAAAATTCATGGAAATCCGAATAAAGGGATGAAGGAATGAAAATTACAAATTGAAGGGGAAGAGAAAATGATTAGCCACATCAATGAAGGAATACAAGATAACCTGATGATTGCCGCTGTTGATCGGAGCAGAAATCGTGGGAGAAGGCCTGAGGATCCATGAAGAGTACGTGCGCGAGAGTACGTGCGCGAGAGTAATACTACGTGCGGCTAGGCAAGAGGAGTAGCGTAATTTTTTAATGAGAAAAAGGAAAAAGGTTAAAGGGCATGATAGTAAAGGATTGACACAAAAAAGTGCTAAATTTGTTTAGAAAAATAAGTAGTGCTAGATGCGTAGTTTAGGGTGAGTTAGAATGTCATGTAGGGTGATTTCTGTATTAATAGAAATGGTAATGACTTTTTGGGACAAATAAAAAAAGAAGATAGAGTTTGCGGGAGGAAGGGAGTACGTAATAAATGATATTCCCTCTGCCCTATTTTGATTACAAAATGGAAATTACGAGGTGAAATCTCACAATTTTTAGAATCATTTTATTTTCAATTGGTATATCAATAAGAATAAAAAATTAAATGTTAAGAAACTAGTTCTACAAACAAGAGGTGACCAAAATACTTTATTTTATCAAATAATTAATTATATACAAAAACAAAAAAGAGTTATTGAGAAGAGAGAGAAAAAATAAAATTGTAATAAAAATGGGGATGAGAGAAATACTATAAAAAAAACTCTCCTATTTGGCTCTCGTCTTTTTTAATACGATCGGTGAGGAAAAGGAAAATTTTCACCACAAAATATGGAGAGACAAAAAATTTCTCGGCCCATTAAGATTTAGAAAAAAAAGAAAAATATAGAAAGACATTGGGGAAGATATTTTTTGTCTCGCCGTACGTTGAGAATGCTCTGAAATGAAATGAAATTAAAAAAAAAAAAAGATGTTTTAGGTGGCGTTAGTCACATGGGTTTGTTTGGTAATTGCGATATTTATAAACCCATGGCAGCCACCCTGTTGCTTTCCCAGTTCTGTCTACTCACTCTTGTGATACGAGCATTTTTTTATTTGGTCCCATGAAAATATTTTATGTTTTATTTGGTAACCGAGATTTAAAAATGTAAAATTATAGTAAGATTTGCACTAAATAGGATTAAAACATAATGACTTTCCTAATATAGGACTTAAATTTTTTTATTCCCTAAATAGGACTTAATAATGACCTAGTGAGAGGAATAATGTCCATTAATGATGGACATTTACTTGAATAATGACTACTTGATAATGACCAAAAGTCCTACATTGGGAAATAAAAACATATGGTCCTATATTGGGAAAGTCATTATTTTTAGTCCTATTTAGGTAAATTTCTCAAAATTATATACTCCCTCCGTCCCAGTGTATTTGTCCAGTTTGACTTTTTCGAGTCAAAATGGACAAACTTTGAACTTCAATTAAAGAAAAACTGTAATGCATTTTAACATAAATAAGACTTTTTTGGATATATCGTTTTGAGAAATTTCAATGTATTTCATTATGCTAATATGCAATAAAAATTGAGAGTAATTAGAGTTCAAAATTTGTCCAGTTTGACTCGAAAAAGTCAAACTGGACAAATACACTGGGACGGAGGTAGTATATAGACTATAGTTGCTTAAAAGACTTGCTTTCACAGTTCTATCCACCGTATTCGTACGTCTGTTTCTTTGTTGCATAAAAGACTTGCTGCCTCGCAGCGTTCATCATCCTCCTTAGTTTCTAACACCTATAAAGCAGAAAAATAAGTATGTCTAACCGACTTATTTTTAAACCATTTTTCTTGTTTTTCCATTTTGACCAGATTATTTACAAAATAATCCTTCATCTTTTATGAATATCTCCAAATGACGTATCTATCATTTAAGTCGTTTTTGATAGAATTTGAAATGGGTATGGACAACTTGATTGAGTAATAAGACACTTGAGTTAAACTACATTAAAAGATTGAATCCAATCTATTAGTTAGTTCAACTCAAGAGCTTATAAACCGATTATGTTGCTCTTGAACTTCCGATGTGGGATGACACTCTAAGTTTTTACTTCCATGATAGAACATTTAACTTATAAACAGCTCTTAAGTTAAAAATTTGTTATCAAGAATAAGCCAATAAACACCAACACAGAAATATACCTTCTTAATTTTAGGTGTGGGGGGGGGGGGGGGGGG